GGTATTACTGTGATTGCACTTACAAAGATTGTAAGGATGAAGAGAGAACTGTCATTCATTTTCAGTGTATAATTGTACAGTTGCTCAAGTTATATGGAAGATGAGTCCTCCGAGGTTGGATTTCATTGGTATTGGCCATCTATCTTGGAAATAAAAATGGGTATATTTATGCAACGTGTGGAAGCAATCTGATAATTTTATTGATATTATTAGTTTTGGCTTGTTTATCTGTTGGCAATTGTGGGAGGGTCCAAATGAATGGGTCGATAATGGTCACAAATGGGATCCTCAATTTCATTTGGATCGTTCTTTATCAAATTTTCACGAGCACAAGCGAAGCTCATATAATCGACCCAACACTTTTTTTTCGATCTTCTAACTCAAATCGTTATCATAGAAACCATCTTTGTCCTTCTGCTGGTTGGCATAAATTGAACATTGATGCTGCTTTCAATACTAAGACATTCTTTAGGAAATTCAATTAAGGTTGCTATGAGTTTCTAGGATAATTTCTCTTTCGATTTGGAAAGAACAACTCTACTGCAAAAAAAGGTTCAATCTTTGACAAGCTATTAATTCCAAAAGAAAGTGAATTAGCCTATTTCTTTCCTGAAACCCCCATTGGTGAACAAGGCGACAGTGACAAGCAAGTCATAGTTTTGGTCCTGCCAATGTATGGTCCTAGGGAGAGAAGACTTGAGACTGACCTAACCTTCTGTATTTTCCGAATTGACTGCTCTGAAGTTTGAATTCGCGTCAGAATACCGAGGTTGGAAGCCTGAACCAGGTAGCGTTGTCAGAGAAATTCATCGATCTTGCTATTAAATGAGGACAATGAAATAGCTCTCACGAATGTTAGAATTATCAAAATTACTTTAAACAAAATGTTTGTGATCAAACTACCTGTTTTGCAAATAAGACTCACTAGAGATTATTGTTGCTCCTTTCTCGACAACGTTTGTTGTACTACTTAGTAAATGCCACAGTCTTCAAGAAAGTCGAAGGTTTAGCAGTTCTATGACGAATCCAATGGAACTTCAGAACCAAAAAGGAAAGATGGAGAATGCTACAGATTTGAGCTCCATTTCCCTCTCGGAATCAGATTTTGTCTAAAACCCCTCCTATTCATGCTATAGATTCGAGCTCCATTTACTCGGACTACCTACTGTTGACAACCATTTTGGTAAATTACATGGCGGTGAGGTGGCATGATGATGTGGCAGATATATACATATTTTAAAAGAGATAATTGGAATTGTTAAAAGAGATAATTAAGAATTTATTTTAAGAGTTTTGGATCAAGTGGAATTGTTAGTATCCTTAATTATCCTTATTTTATGGGAGATAAAGGAGGATATATATCATCGTATTGTTTCAACTACGGTGAATTTGCAGGGAAGTGATATCAAGAAGGATTTTATCACAATATGTAATATCTTCGAAAGAGTTGGCACCTTGGATATGATAGGTCTTATCTAATAGAGTTTGTTTATGAATTAATTTCTATCTTTTTATGTAGTTATTCATTTTAGGACTCTTTATGACTTCTATAAATAATTGTAGAAGTATTCATTGTAAGGGGTCCAGCACCCTCAGAATCATTTTATTATTATGTTTTGTTTTCTCAAGCTCTTTACTTATTTTTCTCTATCTCTATCTTTCTCCCTCTCTATTTCAGTCTCGTTCTATTTCTCTTCCTATATCTTTTCTTCCTATTTCTTCTCCCTATCACTTTCTATATCTATAATTTCTCCCCTTTCTATTCTCTCAATTATTACTACATATTATTCACTGTTAAAGTCATTTTAATTAAGGCAATTCTTGAACTCAAAGAGGAGTTATATTTTTTCTCTTTCTCTTCGCATCGCCTGATAGTCAATATTCTTAAATAGGCTACAAGTTGACTATCCACAATTGAACCATATAGTTGGTTCTGGCACACGCGTATCACATCAATTTTGAATCGGATCTAACCAACCGATTTTAACGTCAACATTCTTGGCACGCCCGGTGAGACCCCACTAGGTGAGTGATTTATAGTAAAAGTATGCAGTCGGCTTCTCAACTGACATACAAATATTCTGATCAGTCAAATCAGCCGATGTACCAGTATTATAATCAGCCATATGGTTGGATAGACAATTATCGGCATGTTCCACAAATGATTATCGGCATGTTCCAGCAACTGATTATCGGCATGTTCTAAAAGTCGCTGCTTATCAGTATGTTCCAACAATTGTTGATTATCGGCAGACGCCAACAGCCGTTGATTATCGGCATGTTCTAGAAGTCGCTGATTATCGGCATGTTCCAGAAGTCGCTAATTATCGGCATGTTCCAGAAGTAGCCGATTATCGACATGTTCTAACAGTCGATTATCGGCAAGTACCGATAGTCGATTATCAGCAGACGCTAACATTCGATTATCGGCAAGTTTTAGCAGCCGATTATCGACAAACGTCAGCAACCGATTATTGGCAAGTGGTAAATCAGCATGTCACCCCCGTATCACAATCTTCGGTACTCGGAGGGCAGCCAATCAGCAAGAAAGTTGGCAAGAATTTAAGAAGAGGATGAAAACATTAATGGCTTAAATAGAACGCCCACCAGTTATGCCAATTTCCCCTCAGAGAAAATAGTAAGAAATGAGGGAGACTGATCAAGAGATTAAAGAATTGATAGCTCAGCTTATCCAGGCTGAGGTAACTTAAGGGCATAAACGTGCTCAGCCTGTGTACAGGAAACCTTATCTTGACCAAGTGGCAAATCATCATGTCACCCCTGTATCACAACCTCTGTTACATGAGGGGCTGCCGATAAACCAGTATTGAAATTGGCCAGTCCTGTCGACCTCGGCAGGAAATTTTATTAGAAAATTGGTAGCAAAGTGTGCCAGAATATTATCAGTTACCGACTGCCGATTATCGACAAGTTCCAGCGACTGATTATCGGCAGGTGGTAAATCAGTCTGGTACTGATGAATGGAATGGTACAAATCAACTAAAAGCAAAGCGGCCTATGTATTAGAATTCTTTGCCGATTGTGACATCTAATAATCGGCAAAAACAATCATCAGTTGAAAGAATTGTTTTAACTCGCTGTCCTCAGCCCAACTTCAAGAAAAAAGAAAAAGACTAGCCGATGTTAATTTCAAAAGGGTACTTAGAAATCGGTTGAGAAAACCTGCTGAGACAAAATCGGCAAGGGCAGAAAGAAAATCGGCTAAAAAACCAGCGGCTGCTGGGGGGCATGTGATTGCAAAACCCCAACAAAAGTTAGTTGATCCATACGTTCCATTTCAGCCTGCCGATTATAGTGAGGTCATGTTTGCCGATCAATGGACTTTTGGGCATGATACAGTCTTGCTGATTGAACCGAATGTAAAATCGGCAAAGGTTATTCTACGACATATCTCGACTCCTGCCGATTATAGTGAGGCCATGCTTGCCGATCAATGGAATTTTGGGCATGATCCAATCCTGCCGATTGAGTTGGAAGAAAAATCAGCTAAGAAAAAATCAGCTAAAAGGCAATCGGCTAAGATGAAATCGGCTGAAAGGAATTCAGCTAAGAAAACTCCTAGTTGGGATAATGTCATTTATCTAGTAGAGATAGGAGGCAGATCGGCTGGAATGACGTTTCACAATAATTTAATTCTTGACGATCATGATCATGATTTGCTAAAGGAGTTAGAAAATGCATGGGGGGCAAGTCCTTCATTGGTTTATGGGCTGGCGATATCGGCAAACTTTCTAAGAATCTAAAAAGAAACCTAAATCGGCAGATTTGGCTAATATGAAATAAAGATCATCTTAGGGGTGATTTAGAAGAAATAAAGCTTTGGAACTCGTTGATTTGCAATCTTATTCTAAGTGATTAGCTCAGCCATTAATTTCCTTCCAATGTACTTTAAATTTCAAATATCTTATCGGCTTGGGCGGCCGACAGCCAATAAGACATTTAAAATGGGGGGGCATTGTTGACACCCATTTTGGTAAATTACATGGTAGTGAGGTGGCATGATGATGTGGCAGATATATACGTATTTTGGGTTATGAAGGGATAATTGGAATTGTTAAAAGAGATAATTAAGGATTTATTTTAAGAGTTTTGGATCAAGTGGAATTGTTATTATCCTTAATTATCCTTATTTTATGGGAGATAAAGGAGGATATATATCATCATATTGTTTCAACTACGGTGAATTTGCACGGAAGTGATATCAAGAAGGACTTTATCAGAATATGTAATATCTTCAAAAGAGTTGGCACCTTGGGTATGATATGTCTTATCTAATAGAGTTTGTTTAGGTATTAATTTCTATCTTTTTATGTAGTTATTCATTTTAGGACTCTTTATGACTTCTATAAATAATTGTAGAAGTATTCATTGTAAGGGGTCCAGCACTCTCAGAATCTTTATTTTATTTGTTTGCTTTCTCAAGATCTTTCCCATAATAGCATCTCGCTATTTCTTCTCTATCCCTATTTCTCTTATTCACGTTCTATCTCTCTCCCTCTACATCTCTCTCTATCTCTTTCTTTCGATATCTATTTCTTCCCCCTTTCTATTCTCTTAAACTATTACTATAAATTATTCATTGCAAAGTCCTTTTAACTAAGGCAAGTAAAACTCATTAAGGAGTTTATTTGTTCTCTTTCTCCTGTAATTGCCTGAAGTCAACCATCCCGAAGAGATTGCAAGTTGACAACTCACAATCGAACCATATATTTGGTTCTGGCACGCCCGCAACATCTCAATTTAAGATCAGCTCTAGCCAGCTGATTTTAGGGTCAACACTTGCACAAAAAAAAAAAAAGTATGCCGATTATCCCATAAAGCCATTGAATTGCCCTCGGTTGTTCTAACCATTTCAAGGCGAGATTGGAGATAACCTAACTAACATCATGCACTGTAAATTTCCTTTCCATAAGTAATGGACTTAAGAGAGAAAATTGAAGAAAATTGAGAATAGCCATAACAAAATCATTTCAAATTACCTGTATTCTCAACTTCACTTCAGCAACCAACTGAAAAGTTCAAATTACCTCAAAATTAATTAAACATATCAAACATTTAGAATTTGAAATAAAAGACGATCTAATACATATTAATGAAAGAAAAGCAGTTCAAACACATTTAACAGTTAGTTAGAATTTGAAACAAAAAAAAAAAAAAAAAAAAATGAAATCTCAAAACACATTGAAGGATCGATCAAGAGAGAATGCAAGACAACCAAAATAAAAGCTAAATCGTACTAAATTTGAACGTTCAAAGAAGAATCGTACTAAACCAGAATTAAATCTAAGCATGAATACAGACATATAGAGACATACACTATACCAGATAAGCTGAGTCTTTCCAGTGATAGAGAGATCTCAACGATCAGCTTGAACGATTGGCTTGATTTTCAGTTGATTTGAGCAGAGAGTAAGAAAATCAGCTCAGTGATAAGCTTTGAACAATCGGCTTGACTTTCAGTTGATTTGAGCAGAGAGAGAAAATCAGCTCAAACACATTTAACATTTAGAATTTGAAACAAAAATGAAATCTAAAACACATTGATTGATCGATTAAGAGTGAGAATGTATGACAACAGAATAAAAGCTGAATTGTACTAAAGTTGAACGATCAAAGCTGAATTCATACTAAAGTTGAATGATCAAAGTAGTATAGTACTAAACCAGAATGAAATCTAAGAATATATACATATATATATAGAGAGAGAGACATAAACTACACCATTTGAGATAGAAATCTTGAACAATCAGGGATAGTCTCAAAGAGGAAATGATCAGAGATAGAGCATCGCATTCGAGATGAAATCTTGAGAAATCTGAAGTTGTTGAGAAAGAAAAAAGATGAAATCTGGAGAGAGGGAAAGAGAGAATATGAAGTGATAGAGAGAGAGCAATTCACGACGAAAAATAGTCTAAAATTGGCACGGAACAAGAGGCATCTGGAGAGTTCCCATCATAAGAACAAAAAACAAATTAATTATAAGACGAATTGCAATAAACTTGTAAACCATATATAAACTTTACATGAAATTCTCATGGTCGCTGATGTTGAAACGATAAGAGATGAGACATAGGATGCCACCCTTATTTAAGATACAGAGGATAAATCATCTCCAAGCCGTTCAGGAGGCCAAGGCTCTGTGGTTTTGTTGCAGAAGGCCTTGAGTTTGTGATAATCTATCCGTTTTCCGACATTATTATTATCCACTCATATGTATGTCCTATACAGAAGTGTTTAGAGACGCCATAAATAGATAATTTGTAAAATAAGACCTAAATTTACTTAAACTATTATAATATTGCTTTTTTTCGGAGAGGGTGGAGGTTATCAATAAGAATTGAACTCACACTCCCACACCATCCTGCAAATGTCTTTGTCCCTATGTCACAATGGCTTGGACACTTGACACCGGTATATTAACCAAAAAAGATTCTAATAAAAGTCTTCATAAGTTTTGAAAAGCTGCAAGACAGCTTCCATACCTCATCATAGAATTAATTGCGCAACTTCACATCATGCCTGCGTTCATGTGAGCTCAAAACATATACGAATTATCTCTTTTGTCCTTCCCAGCATGCATACTGCCATTACAAAAAACCAAAAATGGAGGAATATGCGGAAGCAATAAATCCAAAGAGAAAGGAACCTGCAATACATAGCTTAGGGAGTATATTATATAAAATATTTAAATTTACAAACATTTGGTAAATTGTCATCAAATAAATGATAGTAATTAATTAAAAATAGCTATTAATAAGTCTCAACTAAACACGTGCCTGAGTGACTTATCTATGTGAAATTGAGGGGAGATTCATTCTGGCTATCAGATTCACAAGGACAATGAAGTATAGTTCAAAAAAAAAAATGTAGAAATGACCAATTATATTCTGGAACTGATATGTTATCTTACTAAAAATATGACTTAACAATTATCAGTACTTCTGGAATCCACTGATTTGTGATTCTGCAACAGTTTTTCCAATATCAGAATCCAGATGTCCTCTGCAAAATCATCGACAGGGTCAGAAGTCAAGAATTTCTAATATAATAGTACCTAAAATACTGAGACAATAATAATACTGCCCTTCGCTTGTGGAAAGGCAGGGAATTTTTTTATCAATTGAAAGAATTCATTGACAAAAATTAAAAATAAAATAAAAATTTTAAAAAACAGAAAAGGGTATTACCCAGTTCTGGTCGTGCCAATGAAGGGTCCTTGGGAGAGAGGAGCTGAGGTAGACGTAACCTTTTGTATTTTCCGGATTGACTGCTGTGAAGCATGAACTCGAATCAGAAGAACACTGATCCTCAAGCGTTTTACTCTGAACCAGGCAGCGCCCCAAAGAAATTCATCGATCTTGCTATTAAATGAAGACAAAGAAATAGCTCCCATGAATGTCAGAATTATAGAAATTACTCAAACAAAATGTTTGTGATCAACTACCTGTGTTGAAAATAGGACTCATCAGAGATTAATGTTGCCCCTCTGCCACCAATGTTTGTTGTACACGCCACAATATTCAAGAATGTCGAATGTTTAGCAGTTCTTTGGAAAATCCAATGGAATTTCAGAATCATAAAGGAAAGACAAAGAATGCTACAGATTCTAGCTACATTTCCCTCTCGGTATTCAGATCTTTGTCTAAAACCCCTCCCTCTCCCGATTCTTTGTTCCGTGGACAAAATTGGTTGGATACTGCTACGCTTGCCTATGCAAAAAGTATACCGATTATCCCATAAAGCCATTTAATTGCCCTCGTTTGTCCTTATTTTTCTTCTTTGTTTGTAATGGAAACTTGGGGGACAGAGGTAAAGTATACTTTGCTGCAAAAGAAGAGTATATTGGTTGGCAACAATTTTTGAAACTAAATAAGACCTATTAAACATCATATACTTGGAGAATTAACATTAATTAAGACTGTATCTTCCCAATGAGGACGCACATACGTGATGAAGAATGAGATTTCCCTGCAATAATTTTGAGATTTGAAAAAAGTGAGGATTCATTTGGGGCATGATCACAAAATTGATTTGGTCATAAATCTTGCTAGTGGTCCAAGAAACCCAAATAACACTGGTGTTGAATATGAGAGGAAAAATAGCAGAAAATAATTACTGGATAGAAGAAACATAACAATTTTTGGTTATGTTGTATAGAGTGTAAAACAAGTACCTGAATTGAATTCGGGGCTTTTTCAGCAGGAATAAAAACCTAAAGGATCCATTTTAAGTGAGTTTTACTCAAAAGTTTATGATGTCTTCACCATCTAGTATTATGCGGCGGATTTGAGCAATCTCAGACCAATCTTTCCCTTTGTAACATTCTTTCAGCAATGGACAGTTGTATATACTCAGGAAAGATAGGGAGTTGGGCAGCCCCTCTTCTGGCAAGGACAGTAGCTTAGGGCAGTTCAATATGTGTAGACGTGTAAGAGAGGTGAGGCGTTGAAGGCCCTTGGGGTTCAGTGACTTCAGATTTGGAAGGTATTCAATCATAAGAGAGGTAAGAGGGGTGGACAACAGCCACTCCTCCGGAAATGACTCCAACACTTGTTCTTCATATTCACCGCTAATCGAGAATTCTTCCAGAGAGGGGAGCATATGCAAACCCCACTCCATGCGGCGTCTCATGAGTTCCTGACAATTATGGATCTCAACTTGACGTATGCTGGCAGGCAAGCCTCCGTCTGAAAAGGACTCAACTTTTGGACAGTCCCTTATCTTCAATGATTGAAGAGATGGGAGATGGATGACCATTTGTTGCGGCAGCAACTTCAGTTTCTCGCAATTTACAACTATAAGGGACTTCAGATTGGGAGCTGGCAATCCTCCATCGGGGAAGGATACCATTTCAGGGCAGATGCAGATCTCAATCTCTACCAGATATTGAAGCACGTCTGGAATCAAAAGGGTCTCAAAATTTTTACACCTCCAGATATGGAGAGAACAAAGTTTGGGGAAGCAACGCAATGACGGAGATTTGATAGAATCACAGCTGTTCCGTATGAACAATTGTTCAACGGATGCGGAGCAGGGTTCCATTTCCTCTTCAGACATTATGGGAAACTCCAATTTCTCGCAATCAGAGATGTAAATCTTTTTCGATGTGTCAGGTAAACCACTAATGGGAAAAGACAGCAGAGAGGAACAATCAGAGATGGATAAATCCTCAAGGCAAATGTTGAAGCGCATCATTCCCTCTGGTAGGGACTGCAGAGTGTCACATCCTCGAATGTCCAGAGTCTTAAGCATAGGAGGCAATGCAAAGTCCGAAAAAGACACAAGGCTTGAGCATTCTTCTATCTGCAGTATTTCAAGATTTATTAGTCTCCACAACTCCGGCGGCAATTGCTTCAGGTTTGGCATGTTTAAAATTATCAATTTCTGCAGAGAATGTAGTTGTTTCAACTCCGACGGCAATTGTATCAAGTTTGACATGTTTGAAATCTCCAATTCCTGAAGAGAACACAGGTTTTGCAACTCTGGCGGCAATTGCGTCAAGTTTGGCATATTTGAAATTATCAATTGCTGTAGAGAAGGAAGGTGCTGTAGCTGCAGCCCAACTTGATTAGATTCTAGCTGTTGGCATTCAGAAATTCTGAGGGTCCTTAAACATGGAAAGTGGTTGCTTAATTCCCCGGTCAGATTGGGGCAACAGAATAGAGAAAGATCTAGAAGGCAAGAAAACTCTCCCGCCCCTAATGCATGCCATTCCTCCCACGCTGCCATTTTTTCGAAGTGTAATGTCTCCAAAGCTTCAAATGGTTTGAGCACAGAGGCATCCCCATAGAACTCCCCACCCACCTTCCTGACTTCTTTCATCCCAAAAATGTAAACGTGTTTTAGAGACGACAGCTGCCCAAGTGACGGCAAGGAGTCACAGTATTCACAATTAGAAAGATTTATACGAACGATATTAGAGAATGAAAGATCTCCTAACCAATCTGGAAATCTTCTTCCTCCAAAACCTTTGACTGTGACATATTTCAAGTTTGTATGAGGCTTTAGATTGTCAAGTACATCTCTTTCATTTTGTGAATCATGAGTATTGCCACTCCATTCCAATTCTAACTCTTCTAGGTGATTCTTATCCTTGAAATTGGCCTCCAGTGCATCCCTACCATTTACCACATTTTGCAGGTTTAAAATGGAGAGTTTCCCATGAAGATGATGAAGTGTCCCCAACTCACTGATCCTTGACCCACTATCCTTGCCAACTACAAAATGTGTTAAATGTTGGAGACCTACCAGTCTGCTCATCTGCATTGGCATTTTTATTAGCTTACTTCCAGTGATATCAAGATGGCGCAAGTTTATTAGTTTCCCCATATCTAGAGGCAACTTTGTTAGCCTAGTATTACAAACATTCAAATAGTACAAGTTAATTAGCTTCCCCATAGTTACAGGCAACTTTGTTAGCTTTGTACAACAAACATTCAGCTGGCGCAAGTTAACTAGCTTCCCAATATCCCTTGGCAACTCAATGAGATCTTGACACTGGGACAAATTCAATGTTTGTAGATTGCACAAGGTTGAAACGGAATGAGGTAACAATATGAGTCTTGTTCTAGAGAGATCCAAATGGCGTAAATGTATCAAATTGTCAATTGTTTGAGGCAATTCAGAAATCTGATAACCACTTAAAGATAACACCCTTAAGCATCTCAGGGTTGGCAGCAAATAATGCAACATCTTATTGCTTAAGAAATTAGTTGGAATTTGAGAAAACGATATGAAAGTTCGTAAATTCTTAGCCTTATTAGCAAAACTAAATTTCTCAAATGCATCGTATCGGGCCCGAACATACGAGCAATGACGGACTTTTTCAGAGAAATCACCTGGCTTGTCATGATCATCCTGTTTCCTAAAACAAAACTCTCCAGACACAAATTCAGCTAAATCATGGACTAGGTCATGCATTACAAAGGAGGAATGGGTGCCACTTAATCGCTGAAAAAAGGACCTTGATAAGAGTTCAGAGAAGTAGTTGCTACCTTCATCTTCCATTGATTTATTGCCTTTAGGTTGTCGCACAAAACCTTCTGCTATCCATAATTGGACTAACTTTTCCTTCTCAAATTTATGATTTTTAAGAAAAATCGAACAATATGCAAAACATCGCTTTAAATGCAAAGGGAGATAATGATAACTCAATCTTAGAGATGGAAGAATGTTGTTCTGCGGATGCCACATCTCACTTTCTAAAATATTTTTCCACTCCTCAATATCTCTTTCAGATCGCAAGAGACCTGCACGTGATTTCACTACTAAAGGCAAGCCTTTACACTTGCTCACAATTTCTTTACCAATCATCTCCAAGTCTTGATGTGCAGAAAAATCTTCATTGTGAAATGCATGCTTTACAAATATTGACCAGCTATCCTCGAATGACAATTGGTCCAAGTGATGACTAGGAACAGTGCACATGACTTTTGCAACATTTTCAGTACGTGTTGTTGCGATAATCCTACTTTTAGGTGCCCCTAGTCTAAAAGGTTTTTTTAACAGGTCCCAGTCATCATAATTCTCATTCCAGATATCATCTAAAACAAGCAAAAATTTCTTCTCGGTTAAACTATCTTTCAACTTGATTTGAAGTAAATTTAGGTCGTTGGTGTCATGGGTTGAAGCGGTAACAGCCTCAACAATTTTCTTTGTAATCATAGAAACATCAAATTCATCAGAAACAAAAACCCATACTTTCATATCAAAATTCTGATGCACTCTATCATCATTGTATACAAGTTGAGCAAGGGTTGTCTTGCCCACTCCACCCATTCCCACAATAGGAATTACAGGGATCTCATGAATGCTAGTGACTTCATCAGACAACAACAAATCAATAATCTTCTCTTTGTCGTCATCCCTACCATAGACACCATTTTCATCAACTAGAGAAGTTGTTTGTTGTCTTTGAGATTGTTTCCTTCCAACATCACCTTTCAAACCAAGTATATCTTTTTGTTTGACAAAATAATCCAAGGAAACAATGATCTCCTCTATCCTATACTCTATCGTGGACTCTATCCCTTCATTAAATGGAGATGTAAAAGTGGAGACCATGTCTCGTACCTGATTCCTGCTGCTCTGGGACGGCTCAGCTGCCTTCAACTTGATTTGCAAGGCGTTCGTTGCGAACTCATCCAGTAAGTCATCAGCATGGTAGACTGCATCTTTAAGCGCATCAAGCCATTCCTCCACTGCTCGGCTAGTGAACTACTTGTCCTCTGCATCACTGACCACTGCTTCAAGGGCTCCCAAGGTTGCCTTCAGCTTCTTCAGGAGTCTATCACCATCTTTTCGTCGTGAAAACAAGTTCATGAAGTCGCGAGACGCCATACGATCAAACAGCACTTGAAGGGAAGCTGAGAGCAAGGCGTCAGCCATATTTTATATCCAGTTGGAAGAGAAGGTGAGAAGGAGATAATAATGCAAAGAGAGAACAGCTGTGAAGAGCCACTTCAATTTTAGAACCACAAATATAGTAATAAATAGAGCCCCACACAGTAAGTGCTACTTTGAATTGTTGGCCTCCTAAGCATCCAAGAAATTTCATTTTGGTAGGTATTTCTAGCTAATGGAACCCACACCAATAATGGAATTTTACCATCTTCTATGCATCCTCCCAAAAACTCTTTTGACGCCCTTCCTGAATTTCTCTGTACTTTCAACTCTCCTTCTTTCTCTTTTTACAGCAAAATGGCTCTGAGCAAACCCAAGTTGCTGAATCGTCGGTGACCCTTTTCAAGTACTCGAAATGGGTAATCTTGAAAACTGTATTGGGTCGCACCGATAGAGGGTCGGATTGGTAGGTGAGAGAATTTTGGTTGTAGGATGGGTTAATTAACTCCTCAAGGGAAGGAGATGAGGACAAAAACCTGTCCAGACCAAAAGATGTGAGGCTGTCAGCTGTCTGGAAATCTCGAATACCCACAACACCCACCATTGCTTTCTTGCAAATTACAGTAATTATTACTACGTATTATTTTTATTATTATTAGTTTAAGTTAATTTAATATATATATATATTTTAATAAGAAACACACGAGCATACCTACTTAAACAAATATTTTACCCGCAACATTTGAATCCATCTCTCTCAGTGTCTTCGAGGATGGGGTGGTTATACATTTGGGCTAGATGCCCTTTGTTAAATTATTGATTTAGGAAATACAGACACTGGCATGAATAAGATACGACATGGATTGAAACAATAATATGTAAAATCTAAAAAAGAAAAAAAAAGGTAATAATATAATAAAATAATCATATTATATATATTATTGTTATTTTAATTTTTGTTTTACCCACAACCCATTTAAATTAGGCTAACTAGATTTTTTATATTACTTTTCAAAACATAAAAAGATTCATGTCCAAATTTAATAAAGGGTAAATTGCACTTACACCAAGTTTGGGTTAAAGACAAGGCCCTTAAAAATGTGTGAAAGGCTAAATTGCCCTTTAATATTTTATTACTTTTAATGGTAATTTAAATATAAAAAATCTAAAAAGACCATTTTGCCTTTTAATCAATACCAACCAAATATTGTGTATCCCCCTTCTCTCATCTCTCTCTAACCTTTTTTTGTCTACCCTTACCACTACCAAAGAGCGAATCCAGAAATTGTGAATAGGGTGAGTTAATAATAATAATAATATATATATTTTTTGAATTGGGCTAAAATTAGGTATAGTAAAAAAATTTATTAAATGTTTTTTTTTTTTTTTTTTGGTGGATTTGAGTTCACCTAAGCCCACCCCTGGATCCGCCAATGACTATGATTGTGTGAATTGAGTTAATAACTGGGGAATAGGGTGGTACTTTGTGAAATTTTTTACGACAATACTATTTGGAAATCACAATTTCTATTTGAGAATGGTGCTCTAATATATACTATTATGATTCTTGATGTCGGTGTGCAGAAGTTATAGTGCCAGGGCATACTAATGCTCTTGCATTAATGGAAGAAAATGTCATTTGATTCAGATTTTTGGTATTCCTACACATGTGAATGGAAGAAGCACCCGCAATAGTAAAAGTGATAAAACCAGTTGAAATAGCTACTTGATGTAATCGAAGATTTATCTCGAGGTTAAACATCGAGTTGAGCAAGCATACCTTTACTCAGGGACGGAGGCAGTTAAGGACCCGGGGGAGGCACGTGTCCTCCTGAATTTTCTCCCTCTTTTATATTCTATATATATTTTAGGGTAAAGTGCAAAAAAAAACCCCTTGAAGTATTGACTATTTGCAATTAACCCCCTTAAACTACAATTTGCCCCCTTAAATTATTAAATTTTTGTAATTAACCCCTGATGTGGCATTGCCGGCCAATTGACTATAGTGAAATACAATTTTACCCCTATATAAAACTATGTCATTTCACTAAAAATTTCAACAAGCACAACTTCTTTAACACAGCGCCACAATCAAATATCCAGTCAAAGCGCTGACTGCTTGGGTCAAATGTGCGAACCAACAAGCGAGATGAAGGATCGGGGAGATCTTTAGGCAATCGTAGATTGGTTTTTGGTAAGCCTCGGATTGCTTCTATGCATTGGTTGTAATCCACTAAAAATTTGACAACGTGTCATCATGCCGCGAATAGCCCCATCGCGGCTGAGTTCACTCCACCGTCCTCTTCACCGTCGGCCACCATCATCCAAAGCCAAGCTCGCAGCCGTTCAGTCCCGCCAGCCGACATTAAACCTAATCACGGCCGAGCTTCTTCATAACAGCCCATCACCAGAATCACAACTTCTTTAGTTGCTGATTCGCTGCTGTCCTGAACCAGCCATCTCCACCGGCCGAGCACACCGTCTTCGGTGTTTCGAGCACCGCCGCAAGCTCACCGCCGAGCTTCGCCTCATCTGTCGACCTCCCCGTTCTGAGCTCGCTGTCTCCTCCATCACAACCGAGCTAGCCGCCGCAAGTTCACCATCACAGCCTGCTGCTCACCGCCCCAAGCTTTGCTCCGCCATCCATCTCCATAACAGCCAAGGAATTCTAGGGCACAATGATTCAGAAATTGTCGTTTTATGTTTTCATGTGTCCATGGAGTGATTTTTTTTTTTGGATTTTCTCAATTTAGGGTTCTAAAAAATTAAGAATTTTCAGGTGTATATAAGAGCTTATAAATTTTTTCGTCTTTAAGAATTTTCTCAAATCGGAAACTGTTCAGTCAAGGATGCATTGACCCAACTTCTGTTTTTTTATTTTTATTTTTATTTTTATTTTTAAATTTATTATTATTATTATTATTATTTTTGGGAAAAATTAAAGATCATGAAGTAGCAACAGTAGATTCATTTGGGGTCATGTTTAACAGTCCTTTTGGTTTGGGTTGAAGATGACGATGGGGATATGTGTGTGTATCTATATATATATATATATATATATATATATATATATATATGTATGTATGTATGTATGTATTCATAATGGATATAATATATACGTATATACAGGTTGGATATAATATATACGTATATATAAAGAGAAGCATAAAAGGGGCATTGTGGTCTTTTAGCTTCATAAAGGGTTGTATGGTCATTTAAAGAAATTTGGGTTGTCACGTGACCTGTCGTACTTCTTCACGGTCAAATTCAACTGCTGATCACCGGACTAGGTTAATTGCAACAAAATGGTTAGTTCAGGGGGTTATATGCCAAATTATTAGATCAGGGGGGTTTTATGCTAAATGGCCAATAGTTCAAGGGGTTTTTTTTTGCACTTTAACCTATGTTTTATAATAATATAGATGTGTTTTTTATTTTTATTTTTATTTTTATTTTTATATATATATATAGAAGTCCCCTAGCAACAGTTGATTCATTTGGGGTCATGTTTAACAGTTCTTTCAGTTTGGGTTGAAGATGACGATGGGGGTGGTGGTTGATGACGGTGTGTGTGTGTATATATATATATATGTATTCATAATGGATATAAAATATACGTATATACAGGTTGGATATAATATAGATAGAAGCATAAAAGGGGCATTGTGGTCTTTTAGGTTCATAAAGGGTTGTATGGTCATTTAAAGAAATTTGGGTTGTCACGTGACCTGTCGTACTTCTTCACGGTCAAATTCAACTGCTGATCACCGGACTAGGTTAATTGCGACAAAATGGTTAGTTCAGGGGGTTATATGCCAAATTATTATATCAGGGGGGTTTTATGCTAAATGGCCAATAGTTCAAGGGGTTTTTTTGAACTTTAACCTAGTTTTATAATAATATAGATCACCCCCCATCCCCCCCCCCCCCCCCCCCGGCGGGCGGGGATTTTCTCATTCTTCATAAAATTCTATATATATTTAATATTTTTTTCTCTTAAATTTTTTCCTTAATACTTGTATTCTATATCTATAAATTAATTTAATTCCAAAAATATCACTATCTCTTTCCATATATATATATATTATTATTTTAATTTCTGTTTTATCCATAACCCATTTAAAATTAAATTAGGATTTTTTATATTACTTTTCAAAACATAAAAAGATTCATGCCCAAAGTTAATGAAAGGGTAAATTGCAATAATACCATCAGGTTTGGATTAAAGACAATCATTTACAACTTGGACAATTTTTTAACAATCACCCATGTCAAAAATGAGATCCATACAAGCCCTTAAAAATGTGTGAAAAGTCTAAATTGCCCTTTAATAATTTATTACTTTTAATGGTAAAATAGCAAAAATCTAAAAAGACCCTTTTGCCCTTTAATCAATAACAACCAAATATTGTGAACCCCCCTCCTCCTCTCATCTCTCTCTAACCTTCCTATGTCTACCCTTACCACCACCAAAGGGTGAATTCAAGAATTGTCAATGGGGTGGGTTAAAATTAGGTAGAGTAATTTTATTTATTTATTTATTTATTTATTTATTTTGGGTTATTAGGAAATCTCAATTTCTATTTGAGAATTGTGCTTTTAATAATACTACATATTATGATTCTTTGTAGGCCGGTGTGCAAAATTTATAGTGCGGGGAGAAACTAAAGTTCTTGCATTGGTGGAAGAAAATGTCATCTGATTCAGATTGCTCGTATTCCTACACATTTGAATGGAAGAAGCACCGGCGGATAGTAAAAGTGATAAAACCACAGTGTATGTTGAAATAGCTACTTGATGTAATCGATGATTTGTCTCGAGGTTGAAGATCGAGTTGAGCAAGCATACCTTTACTGCAAGGGTAGTGGAGAGGTTGGAATGTTGGATACCATGGAAGTTGGAAGTTGATATTTTGCTTGTTTTAGTAGTTTTAGGATTATTTATGATTTTGGTAAAGACTACCTAATGCTTGGCTGAGTAGGCCACAAGATACAGTATCCTGAAAGTATATTGAGAACTTAACCAAGAAAATACTACTACTAATATCTTTCTCATGCTTTGCCATTAAAAACCTATTTCTAGAATTATTATAATTTAGGCCATTAAATAAACAAACTATAACTTTGTTTGCTTTCATAAATATTGGTTATCTCATTTTTGATGAGTGAGAGGTTAATTTATTGCTTGCATAATATAATTCTATTAGAACTTTAATTGATCCATTCTATACATTTTACTAATACCCAAACATATTTTGCATGTAAAGCTCCTCAAGTTGGTTTTATCTATGATTTGCGTGTAAACTCATAATATTTGTTTAGAGTGGCAATTTATTTATTTATTTATTTTTTATTTTACAATTAATCAATTGTGTCTTGATCTGAATTGAAACAATTGGCTTAAGTGTTCAACAATCTCACTTGATCAATTGTCCCATATTTCATGCATTAAAAAAATAAAATTGTTTATTAAATTCTGTGCTCAAAAAAAAAAAGTAATTGAAAAATAATAAAGAATAGAACACATTAAATAAGGCTTCACATTGTCTCTCGTTACAGAACAATACATAAAGGCAGTGAAATCAAAAGGAACCAAATTAAAGCACTTCAAACGTATGAACCCCAGTGCATGCTAAGAATACATAAGGATGAATTTGAAAAACAGAATAAAAATAAAAATAACATAGAAAAAATGGAAGGTAGACAAAAAAAAAAAAAAAAAATAAATGAAAAAAAAATAAAAACAGAATATAAATAAACACCAAAAGAAAAAAATAATAATAATGTAATATATATTTGCATTCAATATACCAGAATCATTATCATAATCTACCTTCACTAGATGATATTTCTATTACATAATTAAGAATTTTTTGTGGTAATAAAAACTTTACATAAACTAAAAGAGAACTACTTTCCTTTTTTTGGAATAATAAAAACTTTACATATTTAAGAATAAAACTTTACATATTCGAAAAGAGAACTACTTTCCCTGATGGTTTACTCTGCTTTCCTATTCTTACGATTGTGCCGCCATTATATAAATATGGAAATAGATTTGCGCTTTCTCTATATTACAAAGCTTTTTTCACAAACAAAGGAAGAGAATTTTAGAAGAATTAAGTTTTGAAGTTTGAAGCTTGAAAGAGCACACGAGAAGATGCCACCAGTTTGGTTTAAATTGAGGAAATCACTGCAATGCAGATCAAAGCCATCAGATGTTTATGATCCAAAGCCAAAGAGCAATGGCAACGGCAAACAGTTGACAATAGAAGCAAGCAGGTCTGGGCGTCCGAGGACGAGTTCGAATCTCGATGATCTCATCCATGGAAGCAAGAGGCACTTGATGGAAAATCAACCGAATGGTAGTCCAAGGTCTAGTAGGAGTGATTCAACTTGTAAACTTAAGGATACTATTAGGAGTGGGCGCCCTATAGTGCCCCATAAAAGCCCGAATGGCAGCACATCCATCTCTGTGATAAAGGCACCAAACAGCCTTTCCAGGATGGGAGACTCTCCAGTTCAGGATACCCCTACAAGCCCTAAGGCTGTTTTTGGGACAGATTCATCCTCAAGTTTTATTTGTCATGAATGTGGTCAAGAATTTGCAAAGAGGGAAGCTGTTGAAGCACATCATCTCTCCAAACATGCGGGTAAATTCTCTGTACTTATTGTTGTTGAAAGTTGTATATCATTAGTTTTAGTATGTTTCTGCCATTCCTATTATGTACTTAGTGGTGCCTAATTTTTATTTTTTATTTTATATTTTGACCATTATATTAATTTAGAAAAACCATCTTAAATGAAAATTTTATTTCAAATATAGTTCCCAAATATTGAATCATTTAATCTGGAACAAGTTCATTGTCATTTGACATGACAGATAATTATTGTGTCCTTTTTATTCTCCTTATTATAATAATAATTATTATAATTTTTTTTTTGTATAAAAAAAATAGAAGCTTCTAAGTTCTGCTGTTTTTGTGATAATTTTGTGCATCTCCTGTGGCTTTTGTGGTCTTAAATTTAGGATATATAGAGACTGGGGGTCTATTATATATTTCTTGACATATATTCTTTATTGATTTTTATTTTTGGTGTTCTGTTATTCAAATTTCCCTTTTTTTAAAAAAAAAAAAAAAAAATTGGTGCCTTTCTTTTGGTGCAGTCACTGAACTAGTAGAAAAAGATTTATCTACGAAGATTGTAGAGAAAATCTGTCAAAATAACTGGTCAAAATCTGACAACAATTATGGGAACATAGACAAGATTTTGAAGGTCCACAACATGCAAAAGACACTAGCTCAGTTTGAAGAATATAGAGAAATGGTGAAGATGAAGGCAAGCAAACTGCTCAAGAAACATACGCGTTGCCTGGCCAATGGGAATGAGCTATTAAGGTTCTATGGTGCATCTGTTGAATGCTCCTTCGGATCAAATGGCTCGTATGCCCTATGTTCATCACATAAATGTTGCCTGTGTGGGATCTTAAGACACGGGTTCTCCATGGGAAAGGAAGCACTCAATGGTGTGATGGGTGTTTTCACTAGTTCCACATGTGCAGTAGCATTGGAAACTATCAAACAATTTGATGATGATAGTCCATCTATGAGGAAGGTTTTGATAGTATGCAGAGTAATTGCTGGAAGAGTCCATAAACATATGGAGAAGTTTCAAGAATTAGCTGATCAAACAGGGTTCGATTCCGTAGCTGGAAAAGTAGACCTCTCTTCAGATATTGAAGAACTCTATTCACTAAACCCGAGAGCTCTCCTTCCTTGCTTTGTGGTGATTTGCATACCCTGAGAAGGAGTGAGTTGTTGGATTAACTTAAGTAGGTTTTTTTTAGCACTTCTGTGAAGAATTTATTAATTATTCTAAATTTCCAATAATATTTTATGAATTTTCTTTTGGATTTATTTATCTCTAACTGGGGCACCATATATTTTCACTTTTACCATTGTGCAATAACAATTTTCTATTTACCCAATGCTAACAATAATAATAACTGGTTCCTCAATTTTAAAACTTTTAATATGAAGCCTTAATTCCAATTAAAGTTTTTAAATTTTAAGGAGAAAGTGTACATGTATTACTTTTTTATTTTATTGCAGACTATTGGATTTTTCCAAATAAAAGGGGAAAAAAGGTTACATATTAAGGATTTGTATTTCGTCAAGAAAGACATACTCTCATAGACATTTGCAATTGGGCTAAGAACAAGGGCGAATCTAGAAATTGTTAATGGGAGGGGCTAATATTAAACAAGGGGGAATTGGGGATCAAAAGATTAAAGAGTTAGAAAATTTTAGAGGAAATAGGATTAGACTTTAGAGGAAAAGAAGGAGGGAGCTCTCTGATTTGTGCAAATTCATGAATTTTAGAGTTTTATGTGCTTTGGCTTAGCGATTGTTTAGGGTTTGTTTGGCTTAGGCTTATTTGGTTGGATCTTTATTTTAAACTTGTGGCATAGATATTGGGCTTGTTTGGATGGGTTAAAATTAGGGGGCTAATATTACTACTAATTAAAACATTGGGCTAATTATACCTATACCAAAAAGAAAAAAAAAAAAATTCCCCCCCCCCCCCCCCCCCGCCACGAGGCGGCGATCCGCTAAGGATGCATGGGCCCTTGGATCCGCCACTGACTAATATAACAATAACTGGTTCCTCAATTTTAAACTTTTAATATGAAGCCTTAATTCCAATTAAAGTTTTTAAATTTTAAGGAGAAAGTGTACATGTATTACTTTTTTATGTTATTGCAGACTATTGGATTTTTCTAAATAAAAGGGGAAAAAAAGTTAAATATTAAGGATTTGTATTTCGTCAAGAAAGATATATTCTCATAGATATCTGCAACTGGGCTAAGAATAGCTCAAGATCCCCTCAAACATATGGACTAAAATTCTTGGTTCTAATGAGTTTAAAACTTGATGATGACTTAACCTTCTTTACCTAATTATAAGATGTACCACTTAATCTGGCTTAGTCCCACTCAAGCATAATTAATTATAATCACCAAACTAATGTTGTTTCTGTGATGAAAGTTACAGTTACTTTCATGACTTATGCAGACATGTGCGAGTGGAGCAATAAGAAAAACCGAAAACTTAGTTAAACTTCTTTTTCTTGACACCTTCGATCTCCTCCCTTCGTTGATTTGTTTATCTTCGTTGTTGGTTTAACCGTCTAACTTGGCAACGATAATATATTATTTTATCATTTTGTTGAGGAAATATTTGATGTTATTTTAGACCGTAGATCAATGACAAAATTGATACTCTATCAATTTTCCGTCAGGTGACTAATGGTAAGGGATTACGTAAGGGGGGATATGTTACATAAACAAAAACCTCAAGAGAGGTAAATGAGATATGAAATGTAAAGAGGTTATGTGGAATATTGATAAACCTAAGGGAATGTATGTTGAATTTACCCTTATTTATTTCTAGCCCAAGTGTGTGGATTGCTCAAAAAACAGTAATAAAAAAATATAGGATATACAGTTACACATGCATTAACAATATTTATTTGGATTTAGAAGATAATTTAGAAAATAAGTTGAAAATTATGTAGTTCTAAAATAAACATTTTACATGGAAGGAAGAAATGGATTGTCAAAAAATTATAAATTTCCCAAATCAAATAATAGGAGGCTATTTGGTCTGAAGACTTCAAAGATAGGGGTCTAACAATCAAAAAAAATTCCTGAATAGTTTTCTATGGTATTTCCAAAAAAGAAAAGTCAATAATAAAAGTTGTTAGGTGTATGACTTCAAGTGCTCACCTTCTGTTAGAATTTCTGAATGAAATATGTTTCATCAGTCATCAACATATTTTTTTGATTGAATAGGTGTAATCATTGGTTGGTTGCGGATGAAAAGATGCGACTCAAAACCAACAAACATAACTTATTCACTGTGAACCATTGTAACCTATTGCAGTGGGTGTGTCTAGTGATGAACAGACATATATAAATAGTTGTGTCCAATGATGAAGAGATACACCCAATCCGAAAAGGTACATCTATTTCTATAAATACCCCATTGGAGAGTCATTTGCAATTTGTTCAATTCATTTTCTTCTCTCTTCCTCTCTAAACTTGAACCCAACCCAAGTGTGTTCAAATCATAGGTCAAGTAGTCTGAGTCACTTAGACCCTAATCCAATTTCATCGAGCCATATTAAGATTGCTCTGAACCATTTGGTTCAGATTGCACCAAATTCAGCATTTATATAGTATAAATACATTTTTTGAGCTCGAGAAAGTATTACACAGAGAATGTTCGCCGTATCCACAAGTTTGTAGTATTGTTATTAGTGGATGTAAACTGTTGTATCATGGGAGACAAGCACTACAGAGTCTGTCAGCACTATGCGCGGCGTAAATTGTCTTAAAGACATAGTATCCAATACTAGCCTCGGTCCAAATTTTTTATTTATTATTAATTATTTCATGACATATTAATATAAGTTTAGTTATTTCTTAAATGTCATTGAAGCATATATTTAATTTCCAACAATCTTAAGATAATTTACACCTTGTGTAGATTTTATTATATGCTTCTATTTAAGATATAAACAAGTAGAGATAATACTAATAATTGAGCTATAATAAAATAATATTATATACATTTGTTACTCAGGTATTAACTTTAGAGGGGGGTGAATAGAGTCTATGGAAAACTAGGGGTGGAGCTAGGATTGTAAAGTAGGGGAGCTAAAGCTAATAAAAAAATTTGAAGATGAACACAATAATTCTTATGATAAAGATATATTATATATATTTATAAATAAAACAAAAAAATGATGATGTTCTCATAAATCAAATCAAGTTTTTTAGGGGATAAAAATTAAAAATCACTTGTAAATAGAGTTTCCTGACCTCAGAGAGATTCTTCTTCTTCTACGTATTCTTTTCATTGATTTTTTTTATCTATATTTGTTCAAAAAGATGAGAAATTGGATCCCCTCTCATGTCTGCAATTTCTTTGCTAGACCCCAAACAGATAAGGAAAAATATCACCGTATGTTGAGAGAAAGTGGCTCAAGAGTAGTAAAAATTGATTACATATCACATATGCATGGATTGGACTGATAGGAAGATGAAAAGTATTATTATGGATTGGGCTGATAGGAAGAGAAAGAGTAGTACTAAAATTAATTACATATGGACTTGACTGATAAGAATAGTAGTACTATTTTTTAAAAAATTTTTTGGACCTGGGCTATAGCCTATGTTAGCCCATTAAAAGCTCTGCCCATGTGGAAAACAACAAACAATTTTTCAGTTTATAAAAAAGAAATTTCAAGTAAAGTACTTAACACAATTATGCAATTATAAAAATATAAAATAAGCAATTAAATAACACAATTATAAGAGAGATAAGGGAAGAGAAATTGCAAACTATAACACTGCGATTTTTATGAGGTTTAGAAACTCCTACTTCTAGGCTCCAGATCCCTCTTGACATTTCTCAATCCACTATGGCATATCCTTATGGGTAGAGAGCAAACCTTCAAGAAGCAAGTTGCTTCTCCTTGCTAAGAGAATAACATTCCTTTAGACTTCCTTTGAATCACACCACCCAATTCGTGGGTCACACCAACCCATACAATTTGTTTGCTAAGAAAACTCCTTTTCTTAGGCTTTAGGTCACACTAACCCTTACAATTGATTTGAAAATGAAATTTGTAGTACAAGATTTTCTCTTAAAAACTAATACAAATCAAACCTCATAATAGAGTACATATGAATTCAATTGAGGCTCAAACTCTAAGAATGAATTCGAACACAAAACAAAAAGCTATGTAAATATGAATCAGAGATTATAACAAAAGCTCTGCTAAAGATAAATTCGAACACAGAACAAAAGCTCTGCAGAGATGAATTTGAACACAGAACAAAAGCTTTGTAAATGTGAATTAGAGACCAGAACAAAAGCTCTACTAGAGATGATCGAATTCGAACACAGAACAAAATCTCTATAAATGCTAAGTGAAACCTAGAATAGAAGCTCTGATGAGGTTCACGAAAATGGCTCTCTAAGTTGGTTTTTCAGTTCTACTTATTTCAGCTATACAAAGCTGATATATATAGAGCCATTTCATAGCAATGCCGTTTAAGATTGTTGACTTTCTAATATACTGAGCATTTAGTCAATATAGTTGTTATGTTTGAAAAATACGACATGTTTTTGAAATTTCAATTTCGAAGGTCAAACATTTTTGTTTTGAAATTTGATTCTACCAGACTTTAGTCAGCATGACTTCAACATACTTTATTTCTATTGAAAACATTTAAGTAAATGTCTTTAAATGTTCATTTACTTTAAGTTTGCAATGTAAATAAAGAAGTACCCCCATTTGGATTCAATAAAAAATATAAAAAAATTAAAATTCAACTAAATCAAAATGTAAAAATTCAATTTTAGTACAAAATAGGGTTCGTGACAGTTTTGGTGAAAAAGATTCTTCATGTAGACCAATGTAAAATCGATAATAAAAAATCTCATAAAATCATAGCTAATTAATATGTAGTGAGTAAATACTAGGAAAAATTATTTTAAAAATATCTTTATTTCAGAATTTTATTTATTTATTTATTTCATACTTAGCCAAAAACAGTTTTTTGCTCAACCTAGACCTTTGCCCAAAACCGAAAAATAAAAATAAAAAATATATATTTTACCTAAAAAAAGAAAATATCTTACGTTGAAACAAGCGGAGCCGTAATGCATTCAGATAATATTTGTCGTTTATAACAATTCCGTGGAATTACTATTTATCGATATTGATCACAT